GGGGGGGGGGGGGGGCAGGCAGGGCTTGCTCCTCTTGGTGATTGTACTCTGTATACAAAGTCAGTTCTCAGTAGATGTTTGTTAAATCAAACAGAATGTAAATGAAACAACAAGGGGGTGCCCAGCTGTGTAAAGGAAAAATAGCTTGTCTTGATGGCACAAATTTCAGTCACTTCTTTTCTTTAAATCAACGCTATTGAGGTATAATTTACACACAAGAAGATGCACCAACTTGATGAGTTCCAACAAATGCGTGGACTTTTGAATCTATTTTTTTTGTTTGTCTGCTTGTTCTTTGCTCAGTCATCCGAAGCCGAATCTTCACCTGTAGACAAGGTATCCTTCTGCCCTCCGAAACCCTGAGTCCCAACAAGGTGAGGACTCGGCACTGGCCAGGAGTGTCCCATTGTCGGGAGCCAGGGCTCAGCCTACCTGCGAAGGCTTCATGGAAATGTGCTCGTGAACAAAAGAACGCTGTGTCCGGGAACTTCGGAAGTACCCCTTCGACCTTTGCGGTCCTGGATGCTCTCCCGGGAGGGACACTCCGTGGGCGGCCCCCTTGTTTTGGCTACCGAGCTGGGGGTTTGAGGGAGGCCCTCTGGACGCTGAGCCCGGGGGCACAATGATCCCTCCAAGGGTCAGCAAGAGTGCTCGGCGGTCAAGAGGCCGGGGATGGAGGTCAGGGTGGCGTGGAGCAACCGGCCGGGGGCCGGACGTGACCGGCAGACTCAGGGCTTGACCCACAGGCTCACACAAAAGAGGCCGGAAAGTGTCCGGAGGAAGCGGCGCGTCACGGGGGACGGAGCCGGGACCCTGCCGCGGCCGCCCAGCTGCGTCCCGGGGACACGGCCCGCACACCCAGCCGCACTGCCGCCACCGCCTGCACCGCGGCCGCCGCCAATGAAACTCCTCCCGCTCCTAGGTGAGTGCCCAGCGAGGTCGCGGAGGGGCCGGGGCTTGCAGGGAAGGGGATTTTTCCGAGGTGGAACTCGCGTGCCAAGCGGATTTGGCCCGGGTTCCAAGAAGAATGGACGGCGGTACTTCTCAGGTTGTTTTTTCTCCTTGGCCTTTCAACTCTGGAATTGGATATGCAGGGCCCAGGGACCAAGTCACCTTTTTATTCCTGAATACAAAGTCCGCAAAATCCCCAATGTCTCCTTTGACCTTTTTTTTTTTTTTTTTTTTTTTTTTTTTTTTTCTGATCTCCCCTCAAGAAATTTGGGAAATCCAACCCGGTAACGCTTGTGGGAGGCTTCCTGGCATTTTAAGGGGACTGCCAGCCCGGACTTTGGGTTCATGTAAAATACCATTTGGATGATGCTGTGCAGAAGGGTTATAAATCACATCTTTGCAGCTGAATTAATTCTGGTTTAGACAGTATATCCAGCCCTATGTGAGGCCGAGATTTAGAATCAAATGTTAACACTCTCTTGTTACCAGATAAGGACAGTTTATCTCAGATGACTGTTCTAAGAACAATGATTTGCATGGCTCCTGACTGTCCATCCTCAAGCAGGTGTGACTTCAGAAGACCTGGGACAACAATAAAAAAGGATGGGCCCATGCTTTTCCTTATCGTTTCCTAACAGCCCACAAAATACCATTTCCAACTTTGTTTTCAATTACTCCGAAATAAAGCCTCGTTCTCTTTTCTGCTTCATTTTATTGGTTGTGTTTGTATGGTGTCCGTTCCCAGAAGATCAATCTTTGACCAATATGTTGAGTTTATCTTAAATTCTCCTACTGGGGGAACATGTAGCATAAATTTTACTATGGAAAAGGCAGAATTTAAAAGAAAATTAGACTACAGAAAAAAACAATAATTGCACTTGTCCTCCTGATGTTATGATATGTTGCTCTTCATCATAAAAATTACAGAGATTGAATTTGATAAGACCCAGACCATCAAGTCACCTTGATCTCTGCACAGAATCATTCGCAGAGGCGAGAAATCGCTTTACAATCATGCAATCCCCTTTAACAATATTTCGTCTCAGAACCAAGAGTCCGGTGATCTAGGAATACTCTTTTCTGTATAGAGCTGGGTTGTTTACTACATTATAGCTTTGTTGAGATTTACTCAATAAATACTGACATTGAAGAAAGTGCTCATCTTTTTGCTTACTTGCTCTTGTGCTGTTAGTTAGCTAAATACTCTCTTGGGAAATTCTCATAATCCATTTATCTAGATGGAAAGAAAGAAGGGTTTTTGTGTTTACTATAGTATGACTCAACAATGGGGGGGGGCAGGGGAGAGACTTTTCTTTCTCTTTCTTTTCTTTCTTCCTTTTTTTTGAAAAGGTATATTTCTCTATTTTCCGTAGTGGGTTTTTCCACTTTGCTGAATTGTTCCTACACTCAGAACTGCACCAAGACACCTTGTCTTCCAAATGCAAAATGTGAAATACGAAATGGAATTGAAGCCTGTTACTGCAACATGGGATTTTCAGGAAATGGTGTCACAATTTGTGAAGGTAAACAACCTTTATTAAGTCTTTTGGGTTTTTTGGTAAGATTAAATTCTGATATGATTGTTTTTCCCTTGTCCAGAAATTAAGTGTTTTACATTAATCTGTATGATTTCAAGCTATTGATAAAAAAAAAAAAAGCTTAATTAACTAAACAAGTTTGAAGGTCCCACTTGAAAATGTATATTTGATTATTGATTTTTGAGGAGTCCAGGTATATCTTATTTTTGGTGTAACTATTGAACATTGTCCTTGAACTTAAGCTGGAAAACTAAGTTGCAGAGAGCAGAGTTAATACCTTTGGAAAGGAAAGAACACAGAGTTCATGAAGTCCAGGCTATATGGATATGTGTTGCCTTCGGGTACCTTCTTTACTACCTGACTACTTAAATTTGAGGATAATATTAAGAGATTCAAGTGTTTTGCCTGTATATCCTGCATGATACCCTGGAGAGAGAGAGAGAGAGAGAGAGAGAATTTTGAAAATGTATTCTTTTCTGAAAAAGTAGATCTCACTTATAGAACTTGAGGCTACAATCCAGAGCAAGAATGGTAGAAAAGGTCCTAGCAGGGTGCAATTCAGCCCACTGATTTGATAAACAAGACCTTGTCCGAAAATCATATTTCAGTGACTTCTTGTCTGTGGTTTCAACCGCCACTCTTTCTCTTCCTTCAAGCCTCACTCTATCCTTCTTTTCTCTTTCATTTTTAGTAGAATCTAGTTTTAACTGGGTCAATGGAAAAACATTCTGTGTATTAGAGAGAGAAGCAGTTCCAAGTCATATAAATTAGTTTTAAAATATAATTAAATGACAACTTCAAATTAGAACTATGTGGTATTATACTCCTAAATGTATTTAAGATAACATGGACTTTTTCTAATTAAGCCAAGATATTGTACATTGTTAATATTGCATGTGTTTGCTTATAGCGTAAACAAGTTGTATCTCGTGATTCAATTTGATAGGCTCTTAAAAAAGATTAAATATGCAGTTCTTAGTAAGACCAGACCTCATCATAATTAGTTTAATGTTTAAAAAATGTAGAGCAAAGCTACAGTTGCTTAATGGTGCATTAGATCAGGCATTTCTGCTTGTACATACAGCCAGGATTTGTAATATACTATTCCACAAGCCCTACGAAATTCTTTCTATAAATAATCTTAGATTTTTACTGTGTATTTAATTGAATGGCATTATAGCAAGTTGATAGTCGAGTGACCTTCAAAATATTGCATCGAATATATTAGTGTGCTTTTCCACTAATCATTACAAATTGCACTATGATACTTCATAAGTGGTGTTGCCTTTTTGTTATTTAGATTCTTTTCAACTGTCATGATTACCATCATTAACATCAATAATTTTTCACAATTTGGACCTTCAGTAGCTAACCAGATCATAATCATCTTTTTAATGTTTTTTTTAACACATCTTCCATTATCCAATGCACTCTTCCTCCC